CTGCATCACCTGAGCAGCTGATGGACAGTTTTATATGAAAGAGCAGCCAAGCTCTGATGTAAAGGCTTCAAAGCAAGACTGGTGCCATTGCATAGCATTAATAATCTTACTGTAACTACCATTTGATTCCAAGGCAGCCATTCAAGAATATAGCTTAAAAGAATGGTGCATTAATGAGCTGTTATTGTGCTTTTCCTTTGGTTTAATATGTTTCTTCCAATTCTTAATGGCATTTCGGTAACTTGAAGTAATTGAAGACAAATGGAAAAGCTTCGTGATGCAAAACAATACAAGAGAAGATGTGTAGGGGAAGGGGGATGGGTGTCTCCTTAAGGCATCTATTTATTAAAAATCAGAACAGAAAAATAGGTTCTCTTTTAAGTCATCTATTTTTGTGTGCAGGACAGTGAAAGACAGATCTTTAATGTTAAGGTGGTTAATGAGAGTGAGGGTTACAACTGAAGAACAATGAGGATAAGTAGAAGAGTTGAGGCTACAAAGTTCCTATTTAGCATAGTTGTGTTTGTGGATCTGCAGCTAAAGGAACTGTGAGTAAATCACTGATGCTGGAGAGACACAGCATTGGGATCCCCTCACAAAGGAGTTGTCTTGGGAATTTGAGTTCAGCATCCCAAACATTCAGCTTTGTTGAGTGATCCGAGTGGATCCAAGAGGAGCAACACATGTGCCACTCTCATGGTCTGAAATGTGTTAATGTGCTGATATCCGTAAGTTCAGAGAATTTAGGTGTCAGTGCAGGATGTGCTGGCATCTGGCAGCCCAGCTTCCTGGCAAAGAGCTTCATCATCCTGTTTCTTCTTTAAATTCAGGAATGCAGCTGTGCAGCCTTTGGTCTGACTGCAGAGGCGGTACCACGTACAGCCCAGAGCATCCCACCTCTGCAGACCTGCACACAGCAGATTTGGGGGGCAGTAGACACCAGGCTTGAATTAATGCTGAAATTTCTTAGTGCATAAAGAGTGACAGATTCCAAACTAAAGCCACAGACTTGGCTTTTACCTGTTTGAACCTGACTGGACGCAGCTGAAACAGGAAGAGGCAACGTTCAGATAAAACCGCGTTCAGCACCTTCCCTGACACAGGTGCCAGATTTATGGTGCTTGTGTAAATGTGGAGATGAATCCATGATGACATTCTGATTTTAGCCAGGTGTAGTTGATATTAGACTGGGGCCAAGTGATCCTGAGCTAGGCTGTCCGTGCTTCCAGGGGAGCGTGCCAGGAGTGTGGGGCAACAAGCAGCAAAGCGTGGGAGCAGATCACAGAGATTTTCACAGCAGGGAGGTGATTCTGGAGGGGAAGGATGTCACTCAGGCCTCCAGGGTGACCTCGAGACCCCAGGCAATGACTCATGAGAGCACTTGACCTGGAAAAACAAGGTGGATAAAGGGAGGAGCGCTCTCAGAGCGGTGTCTCGCCGCGGCTCCCTCCGTGTAGCTGCGGGGATGTTTTAAAGCTGAGTGAGATGAGGAGGGAGGATTCCTGGTGTCTCAGCTCCGTTATCGCACTGCAGCGCCAGTGGTATTATCAAGACAAATAGTATGCCAAAACTTAAAAGTGAACATATGTTTATGGGGGTGGTGGGGAATACAGAGGTCACTGTTGTTTCTTTCTGCTCGGAGAAGACATAATGGGGCCTGGTTTAGATAAATTAAGATTTGGAGCTGAGCTCGTGTCAAGACAACGCGAGTGTAATTATAAGTTGACTTCTTTCAGGGTCCCTGAAGTTTTTAGAGTCAAATAAAAATGTTCAGCAAGAGTTTTATAATGTAGTTCAGCTGTTTAATGTGAGCTGATTGCAGCTCAGCCTTGTTGGCTCCTGAACCAATTTTACTTAGATTTGAAAAATTTTCAGTGAACTTCCAAATGCTTCCATGTCGTTTCAGTGCTCTGTTTCCTCTCTTTTTGGACTTCATTTATATTTTGCTATTTTTTATGCATTTTTCATCCCATATTTCCTTACACACCTGGGTGCTGGCATGCTTAATTATTTTTTCATTCCAGTTAAAGTTGTCATGGTGCTTTTTCTAAATTTCATTTTAAGGTATAAAATAGAGGCAATGCTCATTTTTAGTAGAACTTTAAACCAGGCACGTTGATTTATTTTTTTTAACAACTAAAACATAAAACCATATTTCTGCCTGGTGAGATTGTTTGGAATTCTGGTTCTGAATTTAGAGGGGGGGAAAAGGTGTAAAATACCTGTGATTTACAAACTGCTTCCTTTGGAAAGTCTCTGATCTCCTTGGAAGATGTTGTTTCAATTCTGGTTTATATTTCCATCACTCTATAACTGGTGAGGACTGAATAAACCATACCTCTTATAATACTTAGGGAGAATATAAGTACAAATGCTCTTTATTAAAATGTGGAGAAACTGTAATAGGCAAACAAATCCATCCTGTTATTTCTCAGAAATGGAAGCATTTTAAACGCTTTGGCTTTCATAAAAGGGGCAAATGAATTTTTCAAAATACAGTACAGAATCAGTGCTGTAATGCTAATTGTATTTAATAATAGTAATTTGAATTTGGCTGCTCTCTGCTGAGCAGCAGCGAGAGAAAATTGTATGTGGGAACGTTAAAAGTCCACAAGTGGAACATATGGTGTTCCTTGGCCTTCAGAGTCTGTCTCCACGTACCCAGGAAACAGCTCGACTGCAGAAGCCTCTCTGGTGGTGCCCCTTCCTTCGCGCCCGTCCCCGAGCGGTGCCTGACGCTCCCCAGCATCGATTTCCACGTCCCGGGGCCTCCCTGCCTTTGGCACTTTGGTCCACGGTCTCCTTTCAAACAGGCTTTGTGTGAAAATGTTCCGACCGAATTACTGATGTTCTCATTCCCTAATGAGCATCAGTCCATCTGTGATTGCTTGAATTCAAATTAATAAATGGGTTATTCACGACCATCAATCCCTTGCTCTCCGGCACGTTGCATGCCCTGGGAGATTCCAGTGCCTTTCCATAGCCTTTCTTGGTAAATTCTGACAGATAAGCATTGCCAGCACCTCTTGAGAATTTATATCTGCTCTCCACATCCTCCCCCATTCTGACCTCTGATGCTCGTTTATCACCTTTCAGATACCTTTCTTTTTTTCCTAATTGTTAGCTGCAAATAGGTCAGGTTTCAGTTATGCTACACCTCCACCAACCTCCATAAATGAATCCAGATTTTGGAGGGATGTCAGTGAAATAGGAACTGAACTTGTCTCCTTCCAACCTCTCGCCGTATCTCCCAAGATTTCCCTGCCGCTGCCAAATGCCGTGCGGGTACTGCCCGTGTCCTTTCTTCCCTCCTCGACTCCTCCCCTCCAAGCCTTTTCTTGGCTGTGCATTGTGCTCCTGGGTGATTTTTACAATTGTCCTTGTTGTTTGGTTTTCTGCCCTTAATCCTGCCCGTGATGATCTCTGCAAGTCACTTAGAGCCGTGAGGCTGATCTGTACCCGTCACGTGCTGTCCCGCGCTCCGCTGCACTTGGCCGTGGAATTTAATCATCCACATTGCAGGATTCCCCCCTCCCCTCCCTTCCCAAATCCTTCCCTGCTCTTCACAGAGTCATTTTAGTACAAAGTAAACAGAAGTGGCACCAAAGCTGACCCCACAGCACCCTCCTGCTTATCTCTCCTCCTCCCTGCGCCGCTTCCGCTCCCTGGCATCCTCCGCTTCCCGTGCCGGAGCGTTGGGCCGGAGCGTTGGCAAAGCCCAGCCACACCACAGGTTGGTCACATGCTTTCTAACGCTGCAAATCTCCCTCCTGTACAATAAAATATCAGATACTTGCCTGAAGTACAGATACAGTAAAGTCTGGCCATTGTTCCTGCCTTATCTGCCGAATCAATAATGCAGAGAAAGAATTCAAGGACGTTTTTCAGGCAGGACCTTCCTTTTTTAGGCCCTGGTGACGTCCACACCTTTAAATGGTTCCATAATGTTAACTGCTCTTTAAATACACAGAAGAATTGATATCAGCCCTTTGTATCCGTAGTTCTTCAGATCCTTCCTTGCCTATTATTAAAATATGGGAATGCTAATCTCCATGCTTTTGGTTTCCTGATTTGGGTAAGCTGCTGCTGAGCTGTGTCAGGCTTTCCTGTTTCCCTTTCTGTCTCTCTGCTTTGGAGTATTAATTCAATAGATCTGGTCTCGAGTCAGTTTGGTTGCTTACTGTCAATATTTAGTAATAGTAAATCCTCTGTTTTCTGGTACAATAGGAAAATATGCGTTTACAAAAAAGAGTTGCTGTGGAAGAAGTATTTTATTCTCAGAGCCATTAAGCTGCCTTGTAAAATGGAGTTTTAGATGAAAATAATAAAATAATAAAAATAAATTCTTAGATGAGTGTTGTGTGTGTTACAGAACACAAAGAGAAGCTGGTTAGAGGAGCCTGGTATTGGGCCCATGAGTGCAGACAGTACAGACTCCATGGGTCTGTGCCTGAGCTGGGTCACAAAACTTTTTTTGCATGTAGAAGGTTCACAGTTATTTAGTGTTAAGTACCCCAGGGTGCCCATCAAGTTCATCTTTCCATCCTCTCACAGGCTCAGTGGAAATAATAGAAAAATATGTTTCCCACAAAAAAGGCAGAGTGGGACGTGAGATGTGGCCGCGGCTCCATTTTCTGTGTTAGATCTCACTAAGTGGTAAAGGAAAAGAGCTGGTGAGGGGAGAGCCTGGCAAATACCAGGCTTTTTATAAAGATTTAAAGTCAAGAATCACAACAGGCAGGAGTGTTCATAAAAATTTTGATTAAAAAAATTATGCTTGTTATTGTGCTGAGAAATGGACTTTGAATTATATTTGGTACAGATGTGGCAGGAATAATCTTATAAGGCTGCTTCTGTTGGAGCTGTACACAGGAGACTCGGGTTCCCTTTTTGTGTATCAAGGAGTTTTACATGAAATCTATTAATTTATATTTATAGCTCTGAGTGTAAGAGTTGTATTGGAACAAGTCTTAAAGCCTCTTTTCTCCTCGCCCCCTTAGATTGACGCATTGGGCAAACGAAGCAAAGAAGCAGAGGCAGCCTTCTTGAATGTTTATAAGAGATTAATTGACGTTCCAGGTAAGCAAATTATTTCCTTATTCTGAAAGACTGATGGCTCACGTTTGTGTGAATGGCAGTGGGCACTTTTTCTACCTTTGAGAAGGTAAATATGAGCAACGGTTTTATTCTGGAACTGGTATGCTCCAGTATTGTTTCTAATGGAGAGAACTGTGACCAAGGCACATTTCACGACTTCACGTTACATTTAATGTTTGTATAAATCAATTTATAGTATTGCAATATTGCAGGATCCTTAGTAATTTGTTTATGAGAGGGTTCAGACATATTTAACGCAAAAGATGCATCTTGAAGCTTCATCAAGAAACAGCAATATTTGTATTTTTAAAAGACAATATTATGCCTTCTGAAAAACCAAAGGAAAAGCCTTACTGCTTTTGGGAGTAAATCACTACCAAATTTCAGTTCTGTGCAGAGTAAGTGTGATCATGAATTTTGTTTGAAGGCATTTATTGTACGTGTTTTCAACTTTCCTTTGTTTGGCATCCGAAGTTTCTTTGTTTGGCATTTGGTTTCAATAAATTTCTTTTTGCATTTTAGGAGCTGATTTTTCTGTTTTCCCCAGTGGTTAGTAAATACTGTCTGAACAGATTTTTCTTTTTCCAGCTGTACCCACAGCTGAGAAGGGAGTGAGGAGTCCAAGTCTCCTCTGCCACATCTTGGCCTGACTGAGCTGTTGGCACATGACAGTGTGCGTGTCATTTCTATAAAACATTGACATTATATATAATATTGAAAATACCTCAAGAGAGGTTTTGAGGTGTAGTTAATACTTTTAAGGGCTTATAAGGGGTTTTAAGGCCTCATTGCAAAGTGCACCTTGGTCTTTACTGACTTTACCTTATAAGGAGCACATTTCATGCACACTTCAAATAAAAATTAATTTTTTAATGTTTTGGTTTATAGATTAACTGGTTAGAAAGTCAGTGTTTTCAGATGCTCAGTCTGAGCTAAAATATGTATTTTTTTATGCTTTCACATTCATAGTTGAGCAGTGCTCAGTGGCCAGTCCCTTTATAGAGATGCAGCGACTCACCATGCCCTTCCTAGCCTACAGCTGCCTTGGAAATGTTATTTAGGTTAACCAGCCATGGTCTGTGAGCTTTCCTGTACTTACTTCCTGCTCAGAGTCTCAGTAGTGTTCCACTGAACGCTGAGCAGTTCCCTTTGCCCACCTGCTCATGCCTTGGGAGGAGATGGATAACGCGGAGAGGGTCTGAATGTCACGTACAGGCTGTGGGCAGTGCCTGGCACGAGCAGCGTGGGCATGGGGTGGAAACCCCTCCATGAGAACATATCCAACATTCCTGCAGCCTGTGAGTCCAGCATTCAGTGCTGGGGAGAGACACTGCAGCCCTTCCATCTCTGTACTAAGGCAGGGGGCTGCTTCCTGCCGTAATTTGGGAGCTGAGTAGGTTGGGTTTTGAATGGTCTGTGTCTTTTCAGGACTGAGCAGTCGTGTCAAACAAGGGCTGTGTGGGATCCTTCGTGTGCTCCTGTGCAGGGGCTTCTTTGTGAAGCCTGGCACTGCCACAGGTGCTGGGGTTTGAACAGCAGGTCAGACCAAAGCCTTACGGAGAAGGAGGGATGTATATCCCACCCGTGCTGTGGGATCTAGATGGTGAGGGACTTTGTCAGTACTTCTTCATAAGAGAAAGCATTTTCTCTTTTCCTTCGTTGGTAGGAGCAAAATTCACAGCCCTGCTTCCACACCCCACAGCCACATTCCCTTCACATGCCCTGTGTTACGTGTCACAGAAATATTTCTTTGATATTCTCAATGCACAGAAAAATTGCAGCCTGGCTGAGCTGTGAGGGCAGTGGAGTCTGTGGGATGAGAAACATCTCCAGGTTTTTAGTCCCATGCTCTATTTACAGGGCCTGAGAGTGCAAATTCCAGGTTCTCAGGAGAAGGCCAGCCAGTCTCCCGTAGCTGCGTGCAGGCGTAACAAATACTCACTGTTTACAACACGTCCTGCAAGGAGAAGGAAAGCAGCCCTGAGGAATGTGTGGCACTGCTCTTTGTCAGTGTGAGGCACATGCACTTCAGCCCTTGCTCCACTGTGTTGCTCTTTTTTCTTCCCTTCTCATCCCAGGTAGTCTGTTCCATTGGGCAGTATCCATGGAGGGCTGGGTAGGTATCCCTGGAGGCTCGGGTGGTATCCCTGGAGGCTTGGGCAGTATCCATGGAGTGCTTTCCTTTATAAACAACCCCCAGTATTCATTTATCACACGTGTTGTTTTTGCCTCTGTGTGGCTTTACATATCTTTTGACCTGTTCATTTGGTATTTCAAATATTTAGGTATACTTTTAGCTCCCCAGTCCTGCTCTGTTTTCCTTTCGGTGTGAGAAGGGAGCTGTGATGTTTGGAGAAAGCTATGCCTGGAATGCTGCAGAGTGGTTATTTAGCATTAAGCATCGCTGTTACATGACAAGGGTGCAATTTTATCAGACTTTCAATATCCTTTATAGGACCATATAATAATTGCAGCTGAAGTCTAATTCCCAGCAGCCAATTTTATGGTTCTTGAGGAAAGCGTGTATTTCTCTCCTCAGTAATAATGTGCACACTTTATATAATTAAAAAGGGCTTCTATTTTAATTTTACTATAAAATGATCTGTATTGAAACTCCAGCCACGGTGCTTTATGGATTCAGCTAAGTTTAATGATTTTTTTTTCCTGACTTGACCAGAGTTTTCACTCAGGCTCACCAGTAAGGAATTTGTGGGAAGGGTGGTATTTTACTTGTAAATTTTCCTATGTACATCAGGGGTTTTCTCTTTAAAGGATAAACCAGACTTTTTATATATCTTTCTCCAGCTTTATGATGCCGTTAAAATAACATTATCATTGCTTTGTGCTGCAAAAATTTATCCTTCCTAAAAGAAAGTACATGTCAAGGAAAACATTTTGGTTTATGTACATTTATACAGCTGTAATTCGCACTCAGATCGTTCTGTCTTGCTTGAGACTGAACATTTTTAATTAATGGAATTAATTTTCTCATTTAATTGCCTTATTTTCAGTATGCAGTAGAGAGCTAGGGAAAAGCAAATGCTGCCACATGAATTGCGCTAATCAACAAGGTTGTCAAAACTTACCTTTAAAAATAATGTGAATATATTTATTTTGAAGTAAAGGGAGGTTGGGTTTGTATTTTGAGGAAGCTTTTTTCCATCTGTTCGAGATTCCTTTGTCTTTATTTTTATAAAATAAGTGCATTATGTTAGCACCCTTGGCTTTTAGGGTCTTAATCTTGCAAACACTTAAAAGTGAAATTGGAGCCTTGTTGTGTGTTTGGAGGAGCGATGTTGCCTTGCAGAAACAGCATATTCATGACTAAAGCTTAAAGGAAAAATATTAAGCGTGAAAAATACTAGATATTTTTATTTTAAGAAGGAATGATGTTTGCTGCTTAATTTTTTTTAAAACAAAACTTCACTGTAATTTTCAAGTAAAAGTTAAAACATGGAGACCCAAGTGAAGGCCAGGTCTGGACAAACCGGTTAAATAGAGTTTCTCTTTCTGCTGTTTGTATCCCTGTGCACAATTACAGTGGATTTGCTCAGCTCTCAGCATTTCTCCTGTTCAGCAGAGCTCTTGGGCAGGCAAAGAAGAAATAATTCTGCCTTTAAACAAACTCTGCTCCCTGGAAGTGGCACAATTAAACCGAATTTGGTTCGGTCCATAGACTAGGAAAAACCATTTTGTTTTCTGAGCATATATATGTTTGAGACTGAGGGTAAGTTAATTGCTCTCAGTTTGGAGGGGCTCTGCAGCCTTTTAGGGCTGAGCCATAAATGGGTTTTTTTTTGGCTTAACGGGAATTTTCTCATCAAGAAACGAAACGACTCTTGGGGTGTAAAAGGGGATGTGCTTGTGGTTTTATTGGAGACTCTTCACAGGTCTCTGTTGTGATCAGATTTGGTGCTCTATAATGTGTGTGGTGTGTTTTAGCTCAGAGGACCCTCTATCTAAGGAAAGCATAACATAAGAGAGGATAAAAATAAGATTTTTTTTTTTTTAATGTGCCCTGTCCAAACAATTAAAAGCCATAACAGTGAAAGGTGGCTGAAAGGGAAATTTTATCTTTCCCTTACTCCTTGCACACCCTGCCATGGGTGCTGTGTCTTACTAAAAGGTTTGAAGGAGGAGCAGGCTGGTTCCAAAGGAGTTTTCCCCACACCCATCACTTCCCACAGTGTTTTTGTTTAGGTGCAGTCCCAGTTCAGCCTTGCACATTCCAACTGCTCTGCAGAGGGTGTTCTTTTTCCAAGGAGCGATTTCGCTGAGGAAACACAAAGTTCTTTTCAAATAAGTGATCAGCAAAGCACAAAGTAAGTGTGAGGGATTTACTTCTAAAGGCAGAAATGAAAATTTGTTTCTCACCCCTAAAAAGCCTCATTCCCTCACCCCTGTCCCGTGCTGGCAGCACTGGGATTTGCAGTGTTTTCTGCTATCATGCTGTTGCCTTTCTCCAGACTTGCATTGCTGTTTGGGCTCCAAGAAAATTCTCTTTAAAGTGTATTTGATCAATGTTCTGAGGTTAAAGGTGATACAAGAGAAAAACAGGTTTGATTTTGGGTTTGGTTTTTTTTTTTTTTCCCCTCAGAAAAATGATCTGCTGCTTATGTTGGAGGGGATAAATGAGTATGAAGTTGTTGTGTTTACAGACGTTCTGTGGCATGGTTGGATTTTTTGGTAAAGTGTAATGTTGAGCAGAAAGGTTAATGGCAGTCCTGATAGCAGAAAGTCAGTATAATACAGATTTTTACACACCCAGATGACCTGTGATGTGCTTAAATTTCAACATAAGCACCCCCAGTCTTGTGCCGATAGAGAGAGATGGTTCAATGTAAATTTAGGGGAAACAAAAAGAGGGGAGGAGGAAAAGATGTTTAAGAAGAATAATAAAAAGACAGTTTGAAAAAGTTAATAACCAGAGCACTCTTGTCTGGGATAATGGTTGGCAAAACTGTCTAAAGAGCAGGATCAAC